CATCGTTTATAACTATCATACTCACTGGTACGATAAACCTAAACGAATACATGAAAATGTACACAAATATTTCATTAATAAAAGAAAAATTAATTAATGAGATAATTATTTGAAATAACAAATTTACCATATTAGTCCTTGGAAAATATTTTGTATTATGAGATAACTTTGTGTCACTACTATTAATAGTGCGACGTGTGTCCATGCGAATAAAGAAAATTGTTTCATATAATATTTCTTTACGAGTGACAGTACAAACCATACAAAACCAATGATGTAGAGACAAAATGAAATAAATCGATGATATGTCACTAATACGCGTAAATATTCCTAAAAATAAAAAGATTCATCATTATTGTTAATATAGTAGCAATTAATATTCAAGCGATGCTATTTGCATTATACTTTTCATTCTATCTATATAATTCATTTGTATTTATATACTTGATTCGCAATGAATTTAATGCGCACCATGGAAGCCTTACTGAGTTGTAAGAGAAGCCACACAAAGTTTCTATAGATCTTGTTATCATAGTAGCTCTTTTATTGATTTAGTCTCAGAGTTTGTGTATATAAATATATTTATAAAATAAAATTTTATAGGTTATAAAAGTAAATATATTTACCGTTTGATTGATCACTACTCCAAAGTAATCCATTAAATTTTCCCCATAGAAGAAATAATTGGAAGTTATCAAAAAATACCAGGATAGCGATCTGAACCATGGCAAACCATGAATTCTATACACTGCATATCCAATATTAATGATCTCTTCAAAACATTTAACTTGAACTATTAATGTCTGCAAAAATAAATAATATACAATGAAATAACATTAATTATCTTAGTCTTGTTAAAAAAGAATATTTACCGTAATCATAAGTACTAATGGCCCGCCATATATTATAAATCCAAATACAGCTATCATGACTGACGTTGAAATACTCCTGATGATCCAATTTTTCCAACTGAAATAAAATAATAAAATGACATTATAATTTTTGCCCAATAAGAAACTCTAATTAAAAGTGCAAACTGACCGGTCTGAAAAACCAGAAAGAACAGGATTTAAAAGTTGGGGAGTATGATGCGTTCCTTGTGGTAAAGTTTTTGATAAATCTTCCACCTCCAATTTGGCATCATCCTCCGATTCAATTTCTTCTTTCTGTTAACAATATCAGATGAAATATAACACACTGGTATATAATTGAAAAATGTAAATAGAGAAAAATGTAAAAAGAGAAGAAGAAATATTTTCTGGACATTGTCAGCAAATAAGGGAAAATACATGAATAATAAAATAAACATAATAGAGAGATAATTTAAAAATGACATTTGTTTTGTTTTTAATTAATATGCCACAGGGGTAATCCAATCAATGGAATATACCAATGTCAAATAATTATACATACTAGCGGGGGCAAAGAATGTTGACGTATCCCTGTTACTAGCTGTCAATATAATACATATTTTAATCAATTAAAAGAACATGTTTAAATGTCCAAATTATTCTAATAGAATTGCATTCATTATTAAAAATCAATAATAAAACATTGATTCGCTTATTTGTTTCAGAATGTACGCAGAATTATATCTAGAATAAAAAAGAAAAAAAGAAGAAAAAGAAAATAAATAACAACAACAATGTGATGAAAAACATTTTCACCTGATCATCGTTGACATCCCGCGTAGCTGCGGACGATGTATCTTCCACAGTTCTTTTACGAAGTTCCGACATTTCTTACCAAATACGATTGACACGATTACTGATTAGTTTAAAATCAAAAGGAATATTTAAAACTTATATATGTTTATGTGTATGTGACGGTTGATAGGAACGGTACAACTACATATTTCTGTATGCATAAACTGATTATTAGTGACTAAACTGGGCGGGCGTCACGAACCGTTCGCGCGAATAAAATACCAGATTAATGTACCGACGTCTCGCCCATTTTCGGATCCGATCGGTAATCTTCGGAAAATCGATAATTTAAAAAAAAATCAAAGAAAGAAAGAGAGGAAGGCCAATATGGAGAATTTACAAGTACCAACTGTTTCTTCAATGTTATTTTACGTGCAGCAAATCAATCCTATTGTATATACTGTTTAGATATTGGCTGCACAATAACGATCTATCTTAGCGCGAACAATAACAACCAATAAAGAACCACTAATATCCAAATTTAGACTTCCAGTATCCAGCCAATGAGAAGGCACAGTTATTTAAGGGATATTTATGCAATTATGCACGCACACACACACACATGCTTGGTTAAATAACTTGCTAATTATTTTGAAAACTGAAAGAAATGCTAAAAAATTGTATGATTAGAATATATTATTAATAACGTCAAATACTATTGTATGGTAGAAAAATAATAATATAATAATTAATATTATGAAATAAAAAATATAAAACTTTTTTATTATCTAATTGTTAAATTCATTTTTAGTTGTATTATTGAAATGTTTAATTTATTAATCTTACCTGTGTTAGTTTTTTTCTTTCTCTCTCTCTCTCTCTCTCTCTCTCTACTTACTATAATTTTTATCCATCTTCGATGATCCAACGTTCAAGAACTTTTACAGCATCATTTGATACTAATTATAGTTCAACTACGTTACCAACGTATAGATCTTTCATAGTTTACTTTACTATCCTCTTATATTTATTTATCTTGTTAACAGATGTCGTCATTTCCAGATTTGAAAATTTAATTCCATCATAATTTTGATAATTTTTTGGTGTATACTAATTTTTTAGTCTATGTTTAGTGTAAATTACATAATGTTATAAATTTAATTAGTATTATATATATATATATCGAAATAATTAAAAATTATATTCAATGTTGTACATAAATTTTTAAGATTTTAAAAATATTTATACATACACATAGAATATTACTTTATAATAATGATCTCATATTTCATTACAAAAGCATTTTCCTTTCCCGGCTATTACATTGCTCAATGAATTTTATTATTAAATGTTACAATAGAAACAATGCATTTTTACAATAACTTTATATTATATTCATATAAGATTATTATATGAAGGATTTTATAGAATGATAATAATCAAATTTGTTTCCCTGTAAATAGAGAGAGAGAGAAAGAGAGAGGTTAGGTTTTATTAGCTATTTACCACCGTAAATTTTATTATATATAATTTACCTGTAAATAGAGAAACGACAATTAAAGACCATTATCGGCTCCTCTCTATTTACACTAGTCCAATTAATCTTATAAATTAATTAATTAAATTTTCCTATTATAATATTATTTATCTCTCTTCATCTATCTCTTTAGCTATCCATCACTGATTGATCGATTGATTGATCAATCGATTTCTATCGATCTCTCTATGCCTCTTCCTAGGAGTGCGCGGCAAATTCGAACAAAAGAAAATATACTTTTCTTTATATACATTTTACATATATTGCATATCAGAAAATTAAGGCTCGATCATCATGTGTGTATTCTATCTTATAATAATCTTATCCTTTTTTTTCTATCTTTATAATTTGTGGCCTCAAAAAATTGATGTTAACATAATTACTTTCACTTTACTACCGCGAAAATTTGAAATATGATCGAAGACGTCACGTGTGACATTTTCGCGCGCTTATTTGAAAAGATTCATGGATTTACAAAGTATCACATGCATTTTATTTAACGAGACAGTATTAAAGGTCTTAAAATTTCATAGCTAATTTACATATTATTTGTTTTTGTTTTATAATTGATTATATTATTTTAAAATTATTAAAATTTTCAATGCATATCTTTTTATTTTTGTTTTTATATATTACTTGTTCATTGGGTTGTGCTAGGACAGGGTATGTGTACTTGATTCTTTGATAGATTATATGGGTAGTAATATAAGTTGTAATATTTATTATAAATCGGAACTTACATATTATTGAATAACAATAGTTGCACCTGAGAGCTACAATACTAAAATATTGTATTGTTAGTATATGTATTCTTGTTAAAACGTTATGTATATATATTTATATATACTTGCCGATGGATGGGTAAGAATATGAATTTTTTATAGTGTTAACTATTGTATCGCACATTCATTCTCAAATACAAAATAGTAATAAACAGTTTTGTTTTCTTATCTATTTAAATTCAATCGACTATTTAATTATATAGGCGCAGTAAAATATCAATGCTTTTGCAGTATGATATAAATAACAAATTTTATCAAATTAACACGATATTATATATAGAAAGCAAACGTTCAATAAAATATAGATTCGTACATAAATTAAATTGTTTATAATTATCTTTTCAATCGCGTAAAATGTTTCATAAAAGCAGCAGCATTTATATATTTAACATGTATTTTTTGTTTTGTTTTTTTTTTTTCTTTTTTGTATATATTCAACAATTTTATATTTATATTGATTTTATTTCTATTTCTTCTTCGTGACCGATCTTAAATTGAGAATAAAAATAATATTCTTGTACTTATTTATATTGAAGTGCAGTATTTGTTAATTGAACAATACAGTGCTAATAAAATTGTAGATCGTCGTTCTACAATTTCAAGTGAACACTTTTTTATATAATTAAATTGATATACCACATACTAAACGTTTCAAAATCTAGGCCTCCGAGCTCTCAGGCGCATGATATCTGTCTTAAATGCATTGAGCAATTATATTGAGAGCACACGTAAAATGAATATCTTAAACGCAATGTATAAATTAATAAAATAGTAATGAAATATTATGAAGTTAATATAATGAAAATATAAATATTTAATGAAAAGAAATAATTCTTTAAAGTGTACAAATACAATGATAGATTCATTTTAACAAAATTCTTTGCATTTAATCCCAATTACGAAATAACTAAAAGATATCGAACATATCAGGTATACAAGTATATATATAATATGTTAAAGTTGTCTGATTTAAAACGTACTTGTAATATGTAAAAAGAAAAGCACCACAACAATAATGACAGATCTAATATAGTGTACATTAATAAGACCAATATATTCTTCGATAATAGCTTCATACTGAATACAATGGGATAGTCATAATCACATAAACAAAACAAAGATTACAACTAACGATTGATGCAACAATATTACTTGCACAATTTCACATATTTTCATTACCACATTTCTATGGTATAATAAAAGATGGATTTGACGGATTCAAATGTTCTTCATATCTCATTTTTTTGTTTTAAACTTAAAAATAATATACCACTCACAGCCTATCACAAAGTTGGTGGCTCGAAATATAAATATATAGTTTAATATATGAAGATGAAATGATTTTAAAGTAAATTTCATTTTCTTTCTGATAAATAATATTATACTAGAGAAAACAGAGGATGATATATAAATTAAGTATTGCAGATATATACTGCATGTATACGCATACATGCAGCATATATATGTATAGAAAGAAAACTTAAAATCAGTTTACTTCAAAAAATTGTAAATAGTTGTGCCAATCCAGTTAAAGATGTTAGATTTGTTGTAATAATTAAAAATGCTCTGGCATTGTCTTTTATTTTTTAAATATACACTTTGATAGCCTTAATTATAATGACGGTATGCTCACATAATTCTACGTGCATAGAGTGTAATGCTACATGTATTTCAACTTTCAAGCGACATACAAACATTCCCTAAAGCACTGATTCCCTTTCAATTGAAGCTAGTTTATGGAATGATTATGCAATGTCATATAGGGCATGTATGAATAATGTAAGATATGTGTGCATACAACTATCAAAAATGTATAGAAACCGAATATTCTAATTAAAACGCTCGTTATTATTTAATCGTTTTATTAAATTTGTTAAAAGTTTGAATTTGGCCAGTATCATTGTCAATATTATCTTCTTTGATTCTGAGTGAAAATTAACTTAGTTTTGTATGCCAACATTACAGCTTGCATTTTGATTTAGATAAATGTTAAGCAGAGTGGATCGATTTACCTTGATACTGCTATAACAATCATCAATTGCTAATGTAAAGCTAATATTTGAGATTAAAATGAACTTCACATAGTGCATCTGGTTAAAAGCAGCTGGAATGTGCCGTATATGCAAACGACCCAGACATAGGACATCAGTCAACATTAGGTGAAAATATTGCAGAGCCCTTATAAATTGCTTCATATTTATCACTTTAGTTCTCTTAAATCATGTCCTTTATTGAGCACGAACTGAGTATTTCTGATCCTGTAACACAAAAATTATTTTCTAAATTAATTCAAAAGTAGTATTGCACACTTTGTAGTTTCATAATAAAATATAAAAATTATTCAAAAAAACATAATAAGGGGCAAAGGCTTTGTAATAGATTAACTTAAAAAATAGCCTATGCAGAATTTAGGTAAAATGATGACCTATGAATTCATGTAGTGAAAATGATTTCACTAAATTTATAATATTAAAAAAGTGTATTATCGAACCTTGTAAACCACCATTTATAGTAATTAATACTATTATGCTTCAAGATCTATTTATGTTATGAAGGTGATTATAGCTGAAAAAAATGCATTGTTTATATTAAACTACTGTGTGTGCATATAACAATTTTTATAAACAAGCGTATGGCAAACAAACACAATTTTGCTATGATTAATCACTGTACTTAAAAGAATTTCACTGCATGCTTAATGATATATTCTATTTTAAAAAGAATAATAATGTAGCTTTCAACAGCAGCAAATATTAAGAACAGCGATTAATAATTTATAACTACAATATAAGTAAAATAATAATATTTAAAATATAAGCTCTTCTCATTGGTGTTAAAAAATCAGGGTCTGCGTACTAGAAAATTAGAAGGAAAATGCAAAAATAGAAACATAAATAAAGATAGATAATTTGGAACTAGTGCATTAATGAGATAACAGTAAATATCCAATTCTACAAATACGCACCTGTTTTGTCATGCCCAAAATATTTCCTCTGATGTCCACATGTCTCATATTCCAGTGCAATCCATACCTAAGTTCTGGCCTGCAGTACTCAAATCAAAGCGAAACAAAACAACAACGCAGATATTCCAAAACAGTATAATAATAATGTGGTTAAACACAAATGCGTGCGAGGAAAATTAATGCAAGATTTAGTTATCTTAATATAACAAGTTTTCATACAAAAAATGATTCTTCCATATATAGATAGCTTCATACAAAATAGAAATAGAATGCATGTAACTCAAATATTGATAATACCATTTGGGATGTATGTAGCTCATACTCTTCTTTACAACATTCCTACACGTGTATTACTTTGTGCTCCATTAGAGCTATTATTAAATATTATGTGATATCAGTCAAATAACAAATTAAATTTTACTCTGTTAGAAAATAATTTATTTCTTTCTTTTTAAATTTATTTATTAAAGTATCAAGGCACTACTTTTACTTATTACTCTCGTGTTTGTTAAGTGATAAATTAAAGAAAATTACTAAGAATTAATTTATAATACAGCGTTTCATCCTACCTATAGGAAAGTAAAAAGATAATATAAGATTATTATATCGATATCATTCACCAGAACTCGGTATATGGTGTCTCGAATAATATAATGATTGGAAGCAATAGTTATTTTTATGTATTCTCCTGAGATCTTTATAAACTACAGGCAAGAACAAGATTTTCTATTAAATTATTATTATTATTATTATTATTATTATTATTATTATTATTATTATTATTATTAATATTATATATAGATGTATATAAATGAAAAGTATATAATTAACTTAATAAATTGCACAAAATATTTTCTTCTTATTATACATATAAATTAATATTTTAAATACATACACGAAAACAAGAACATCATTTCGAGACACCTTATATCACAAGACAATTATCAGAATACAATTGTAATGATGTCAATGTGTAAAATTCGAGAATAAAATTGCAGAGTTATTGTGTAGGAAGATTTAAAAATAGTTTCTTCAATAATTCCGAGTCTAGGAAAGAATCAACCATTTCCATAATGTATTAGAATGCCTAAATTCGAAACTATAAGATGAGAACAATTTTCGATAAAGTATATAAAACGAATAAATATAAAATTACATGTAAAAATCCATAATCTTCATTTGGTTCATACTTTCTATGTTTTTTTTTTTACTTTTTTTTTTTATAAATTATCTTTGCTAATCTATACCAAGCTATATAGTCGAGCAAAGCTGTTACTAAAAACTTCTATCTTTACCACACGTGTGTCATCATCATTCCACACTACTTTTGGTTTCACAGAGATAATCCGGTTATAATGTGTAAGAAATCATTTAAAATCTCTTATCGATAAGAAAAATGATCCTTAATAGAAGTTATACATTACTAGTACATTAAAATAGAATGTCTTAATTGTTTTTCTACCTTTTTTTCTTTTGTTTTTCCATTAAGGAACCATAAGGCGTAAAATGCAAATGACATTTAGTATTATTGTTTTATGAGATTAGACAGTAACGTATTTCTATAAGACACATAATTTAAAATAATCAAATATATATTATATGTCATCATATCAAGCGCCTTAGATTAAAAGTATTTTTTTCAAACGTTATTTATGATGTTCTCATATTTACGTTAAAAAAATAAACACAAGGCGTTATCACAGTTAAAGATTGGAAGTAATTAATAACGCTTCATTGTTTTCTACAAGGTATATATGCATATATCCGATGTGAACGATGAAAATTGATTGCACTGTATTTCCGTGACAATACATTGCAGATTATAGAGAAGAAAATAGGTACTGACGTTTCTCAAGTTGAATATTAATGCAAGTGCAATGAAACAGTGCCGAGAAACACAGAGAAATATACACACGCACACACACACGCACATGTACAGCCAGTTGTAGATGTCCCTAAAAAGGCAATTCTACGAGACATAATAATAATATGTATATCGCACGATTATAGTATCCTTCAGCATTTTCGAATACAACGTGATATTTGTAAAGTTTAAGGATACCTAAAATAAAGGGATTCCCTTAAATATTGAATTGCCCTCCTCCTCTTTCCTAAGAATATAGATATTCAGCGGTACTTTTAAATCTGCATACATATTAGGGGAAAAAATCTGAGACAAGCGATACTACAAACGGACAATTATCCTACGTGGAAGAATGAATCCCGAAAGCTTGAAAGATCTTGTTTTTAAAACCGGGTTTGTTAGGACTAGCGTCGTGGTGGCCAGATTGTCCTTCATGTAGCGCCCTTTGCACCAGTGGCAGCGAACCCTGTGATTGTGTGTTGTATCGCCAAATCGTCACAACGGGCCGGATAACGAAAAAAGAACAAAAAGAAAGAAGAAAAGGATAGTAGACAACTAATGGTGTGCTACTACATGCAGTGCAACCGATGATTTTTAACTTGTCTTAACACAACCCACCTCGTCGTGTTGTTCGTGTTCACTATTAGCAAAACTCGATCGTGATCCACGTCTAGTTGTTCCTTTATCATCTCCTAAGATTTGAGCCACCTTAGCTTGTTTCACTAGATCTAATGCCTAAATACAAACAACAAAAAAGATTGTCTTTTATGGTACCCAAATAAGTTAACTAAAAAAACCAATATTTTGGCAAAGGGAATATTTCAAAAGTACAATATTCGGACATAAATTAAAATTTAATATTAACGGATAACAAACTAATCAAACTTTAACATTCATATTTCTAAATTCTATTCTTTCTTCTATTATTTCTATTAATTCAAGTGTAATCATGATTATTTGCTAAACAACTTTTTGCAAGTAAAGGAAATGTATGATAGCTTTTACTTTAATAAGAAATACTAATAATAAATATCACTAAGAAGTGAACAGCTTGCTCACCTGCTGTACTGGCTGCATGTAAAATAGACAGGAACGTTTCGTTAACAAATACAGTTAAAGATTTTCTACTGTATTATAATAATAAAAAAACAAATAATAACTCACCTCTTTTCTTGATCTAAAGGCACAGTCTTCAAGAGTTTCTGCAGCCTCGTATTTGCCTAATCTTCTATATAGGGAACTAAGATTTTTCAATGTAGTCGTAACCGTTGGGGAATCGACCTTAGCCGCTTTATACCATCCACCATATTCGCCGTAAGGAGTATTTTCTTTATTTTTATGTTTATTTTCCTCTCGTTCTTCCGCAACCTTAGGTATAATAAATCGATAATATATATGCATATCTTTATTCCATATGGACGTAGAAAGTTAAAGATAAACGAAAATGAATGAAATTAGAAAATATTTCTTAATTTCTACCTGCCAAATAGGTTTATTATCTTCATCAATAGCACCAAATTCTTTCTCGTGTGCTCTAGTCAATACTTGTTTGTATAGAATTTCTGCGCCCTTATATTTGCCTTGTTTCAAATAACAAGAAGCAAGATTATTTTTCGTTTTTGCCACATTAGGATCATCTGGACCAAGCTTTGCTTCGTATATTTCTAAAGCTCGTTGATAATAACGTTCCACCTCTTCGTATTTTCCTTGATTTTGACATAATAATGCGAGATTGTTTAGTTGCTTAGCTACATCTGGATGTTCATATCCAAGAACGTTTTCCCGAATAGCGAGGGCTCTCTTACACAATGGTTCTGCCTCATTGTACTTTCCTCGCTTTCCGTATAAAACTGCGAGATTATTTAATGTTGCTGCAACCGCAGGGTGATTTTCACCAAGTGTCTTCTCCCTTATTGCTAATGCATCGTTTAAAAGATTAGCTGCTTCCTTATATTTATTTTGATCTCGATATACCAATGCTAAGATATTTAACATCGTTGCAACATCGGGGTGATCATGACCGGAAGTTTTTTCTAAATCCTCTAGTGCTTGTTTGCACAAAGGTACAGCTACTTCGTAACGTCCCTGACTCGCATATTGTATTACCAAATTGTGCAAAGTACGCAAGCGTGCTGGTATTTCATATCCAGCATTGACTTGCTGTGCGAATTGTGATGGTGGTGTAGGTGATATTGCTATAACCAACAACAACACAACAATAATGTGAGATTTAATTAAGTAAAAGCAAACAAAGTTTGTAATTAGAGTCATAAGAAAAAGAAAAAAGAATACATACATTTACTGTTTCGATCATCTGCATCATCATCGGGAAATAGATCAACTACGGGATCATCTACCGGCCTATCCTTAGCATTTTCATCATCCGCAGAAGGATCAGGATCATATTGTCTCATACTAGTCATAAATTCTAAATGCTTCTTTTCTTCTTCCAATTGAGCAACCTGTTGCAATCAAAAAGCACATTTGTTTTAACACTTGTCTTAATTATAAATTATCCAAAATTATAGACACTTACATACATTTGAAAACTTACCGCTTGTTCGCTAGCTTGTAATTTTTGTTGTGTTCCTGCCAACTCATCTCTCAACCATGCATTCTCTTGACACAATCTTCTAACTTGTGTCCTAAGTTTTTGTTTCTCCGCTTCTACCATTTGTAAATGACTAGCCAATGCCATCATCACTTGAGCTTCTCCCAAACCTAATTCTATCATTTCGATGTTCTTCGATAAAAGAGTGGATTTATCTCGAGCAGATGGTGCTTCTTGCGATTGTAATCCCTGTAAGAGGCCACTGTGTTCTACCCGGAGAGCCTCCAATCCCTGGGCCACTGTACGTGCCCCAGCCATTATTTCTTCCTGCGTCATGGCCGTCATCCTGCCAATAGTTTCTATTTTCTTGCTAGAAAATAACAAATAACATTGAAATATTTAATACTACAATATTACTCTATCAAAGCAAAGAAAGCAAAGAAAAAATAACAGAATAAAAAGAAAAAAGAAAAAAGAAAAAAAAAAGAATATTGTGCAAAAATATTAAACTAGCATGTTTAATTCAGCAACTGTTCTCACATTAAAATATAGAAAAAAAAAAGAATAGAGAGGAAATAACAGACACGCTACATCAAATTTGGATTAATTCTAAATACAAAAGAAAGGACGGAGATCCTTTACTGTAGAGAAGAAGAAAACGACATTGTAAGAATGATTAAGCTGCCACGCACAAAAACAGGTTCGCTCGAGGTAAACGCTTCTTTTACGAGTCGGTTAATTAATCGTATTTAAAAATAAGAAACCACAAGTATTGTTGATCAATGAAAAGAAAAGAGAGGACACGAGCAAATCCAAAGGAAGAGAAAAAGAGAAGATATTGAAGGATGAACAGAGATGACAAAGGTAGAGTGACAGAGAACAGTAGATATCGCCGCAGTCGGCGAGTCCAACGAAGACCAAGAATGTGTTTGGAAGGTCGGAACTTTGTGGGAAAAGGGATTACGGCGAATTTCAAAATGTCCAACTAATTGTACCTCTTATTGGGATGTTATCGACCAAAGATGAAACCGAAGTGTCTTGGCAAATGTACGATTAAAAGAAAAATAATCTAGATAGGAACTTACCCCATGTCAGGGCCGCGTTAAAAGCTACGGAAATCAATGGCTCAATATTTCCACGCAAGCGCAACATCTCGGCTGCCTTGCACTTATGCGACGCAGCATACATATATATACATATATATGTATATATCCTATGTATCTATATATGATACATACATACATATACAAAAAATCATGTATATATATACGTGTACAGATGAACACACAAAGAAAATAATAGATAGAGAAAGAGAGAGAGAGAGAGAGAAGGAGAAGCAAATAGAAGAGACATAAAATATAACTAGGGAAGCTAAGGAAAATAATAAAAGAGAAAGAGAAAGGCGTCAGTTTATATCGAAGAGAAAATTTCTAATGAAAATGAGATAGGAGAGATCGATCTCCAGTTAGAGTTACGAGGGACTAAAGTAATAGAAATGATGAGAATGTGTAGTCTCTATAATAAGGTCAGTTTTCGTTGGTTTATGGGTATACCTATTATATAAACCTTGACCTCACGCAATACCTTCTATGGTATATTGCTTTTTATTGTATTGGAAATAATTCGTATTTTCCGGGTAAAGGAATAGATCGTTAAATATATCGATAGGTAACGTTTAGATAAAATCGATAGAAAGTACTTTAATTCTTCGTTGGAATACATTCCTGTCTCGCCTAATAAATAAGGGATTATACTTTCGTAAGAAAAACGTGGATATTTTAAAGCAGACTTGTGAAAGAGAGAACTACTCTTTTTCGCTAACATAGGAAGGGGGTTTACTTTTCATTGAAAAAGTACCGTAAAAACGCGACAATTCGTCAGCAAAAAGTCAGCGCCCGTTAATAACACGAGGAGAGATTAAAAATGCGTGTCTGGTTAATGAGTTCGCATTGAAAGATCTCTCCTCTCCCTGCTAGATCTCGTTTCTTTAATATAAAAAAAAAAAAAAGAAAAAAAGGCTTGCCTTCTTGCGCATTCACCCAAAACGTGTTTGGGACGCGTGAAAATCAGAATATAAATATTATCCAGCCTGGTGTAGAAGTTTATTTGATCATCTTCTTCTTCTTCTTCGTCGTCGTAGTTCTTTGGCTAAAAACTGATTTTATTTACGAATCAAATCGAAATCCCGTCTTCCGATCGTGTCTTTACCTCCCCGATTACGAATAATATTCCTATGTTTACTCTCGTATCACACGATATGATAAACTACTCCCCTTAGAGAAGAGAGGACTCTTTCACTTTTGATTTTATCTATTTAACGATTTAACGTATGTTTTATTATTAGAACTTTGATAAACCGCATCGTTGAAATTTTTTACAGAGAAATACAAATAAAAAACAAAGTAATCAAGATTAGAATGAAACTCGAAGGTTATTTATCGCATGTTTCACCGTCGTAACTCTGATCGATCATTTCTAATCTTATTAAATATTTCTCATTGTTTCTGTTTAACCATTCCAACTATTCGTACGGACAAACGTTAAGAATCGAAAAGAAAATTCTCGTGATAGAATTAAACGATTAAGTGGATAAAATTGAATGAATTCAAATGAAAATCTTTATCGGATTTAAATCAGGAACGAGTCGAATGCTGGTGTGTATTTCACCTTCTGATCCATGCACCCGACAACCTTTCTCGTGATAAAACGTATTACAAGAACCTTTTACTCTATTAGCTTTCTCTTATTTTAACTTAAGGTTAAATCCCTAATTTTATTTGATCTAACAAAAAAATATGTATTTCTAATGAAACGCAAGAGAAAGTATAATAAAATTGGTTATCTTTTCTTATGTGTCTAATACAACTCGTCCTTAGGATCATCGTAGTGGTACCACGTCGCCGTAGTCATATTTGTTGGGTTTTATCATTCTACCGGCTTTCTCTTCTTTCAGATACGAGGAGGAAGATGACGCGCTATTATGGTTGGCAGGGAAACGCAGTGAATCCGCATGATATCAACCACCGACACGGTGTTTCCTTTCATCGTCTTTACGAACAACGATACACTGCACGCATTCCTTTACGAATAATGAAACGAACAACGGACACGACGGGATTTCAATTGAAAACAAAGGAAACATAAATAAATAAAAATAAAAAAGTAAAAAACTTGGCGAAAAGAAAATATTGCAAAAGAATAACGTAACGTAAACGAAGGACTAGATAAATAAAACGATCTACTCACATTCTATAAGCGTTCAGCGTTTTTGACATATGTGTTCTACCCATCGGTAATGTCGGATTGATTCCCTTCGGACCTTACCTATTCCGTATAAAAAAGATAGATTTTTCTATAACCACCGGATTCCCTTCGTCGTCTTTATTCTTATAAGTAAGAAACAGTAGTAGAAATATAAGTAGAATGATCACGAATAACTAAGACAAATATTGTCACCGTACTTCTTAATATACGAATCATTTACGATTATTATTATTATTATTATTATTATTATTATTATTATTATTATTGTAATTTTTATTGTAATTTAATGGGACCGTTAATTCTTACTAGAACGTAAAAAAATATATGTATTATTATCTACATTTAAATCACGGAATTGGACTTTACTGGTCCGCGTTAAAGTCTTCACTGAGGGTTAAGCTTTGGCTTCCCACCCTCTCTTTCTCTTCGTTTCACGGGGGTGGATGAGGAGAGTAGTGAAATACGCTTGCGCAAAAACCCTTCTCATAGTCAACTTCCTACAGGCTGGGTTACACGCAATCTAACATTGCTGTGATGTCGAGAGGGTGCAACGAGAGGGTGCAACGAGATATACATGAATGGCGTGCCGGTTTTCTGAAAAACATAATATGTACCGCCTATTTCCTGTCCTTTGCTAAGAATCAACTTGGGGATGTGACAATAAGAACGTTACTTGGTCACTAGGAACCTTACCTTTACGAAGGTAAAGGGCAATCATTCAAGGGACTATTCAAGGGGATACTTATGATATCCCTTATTTTTTCAATACTTTAAAAAGATCTTTTTCACTATTATATTTCCTACGATAAATTATTTTGTTGAAAGTTATTTTTATAAGTTGTCAGATCATAGAAATTATAATGAAAACAATTCCAATATTGTTATGTAATATATAATAATACAAAAAAATGAAGTGATCAATGAACGGTTTTATGTTTCAGAAAATACTAATCAGAAATCAATATTAAGGTCATAATATTGATTAAAGCAACTCTCTCTTTCTCTTTTTACCATGCAAAAATGTCTATCATTTAAAATCCTATAACCATTCTAATCTCTTTCTCTCTCACCCTTTAATCTTTTTATTCGATCGGACGTTGAACGTGTTTACCTTTACCTTCATTCTCGTAAACCTTGCATATAAGATTTCATTTTATCGTGTTACACCAAACATTAATATTCTATTCTTTAATATAAAAAATAAAAACAATTTAACGAATGAAATATAATTGGTTTCTACAGTAAGAGGTAAAAAAAAAAAAAAAAAAAATGAAATTAAATTAAAATGCAAAAGTACAAAATTTCATCAAAGTGGGATTACAATTTTTGTATTAGATATGCTTTTGATAACATAACATATTTCTATCTCAAAGGAAAAACTCGTGTTATTTTAACACAGAACGGACATATCAGTCCTACTTCGACGCTTGGCTGGCTACGTTTTAATGTTAGTTTCTATCTTCGACCGTGCTAATTGGAAAGCACTTTGTACTCGAGTGCGTTCTTCCGAGTTTACCGGAGAGATAGTAACCCTTGCAATCAACAACAATCCACTTTATGAAATCAAACAGGAGAGAAAGAGAATGGTTGTTATGTGCCAAAGTTAATGAGGAAGAATTAATTAAATTTCATTAATAACAACAACAATAAATGAAAAAACAATACTACAAAGTTAACATTATATTTCATCTCAAATGTTTTATAAACACAAAAATTGTTGACTCATTATACGTATAGATATAATAATCTATTATTTTATTGTATTTTCTGAAACATAACGATCATTATTAAAACATTATGATCACGGTGCAGGTAGAATCTCTTTAGTAGTGAAAAATTGCAACGTATCGTTTTCGCAATTCTCCAAGTTACGAGGGAGATCCAGTTGGTCTGGTGTAGTCGATGAGTCATAGTATGACTACGATGCATTCAGAATGATATGCCATGTGCTGTGCTGTGCTGTTGCTTGCATGTTAGAGAAACTAAGAACCGTATACCATCGTCTTGTCTTGTCTTGTCTTGTCTCTTTCTTGTGTGTATGTAGTATTAGTACGGCGAACTCGGTTTCTCGAATTTAGATTCTCGGGAATTTTCAGAACGACTACGATTTACTAAAGGGATGGAAGAAAACTCTATTAGAAGTATCATTGCGTTTAAGTCGAACTAAGGCATTCGTATCTTTCTATTTGAATTTTATATTAAATAAATAATTATTATATATTATTTATTTATCATAAATGACGAAGAATTTGTTATTTGTTAAAGAATATTTTTGTAATTGTAAATTTCTTTTAAAGGATTTGTTTAAATTCATTGAACACTTGTACGTAGGCAGAGAAGCCTTGAAGAAAATATGCAGACAGGTACATATACGAGAGTTTTATTTTAAAATAATTATTATTAATTTTTAGAATGCGATAGAGGCCACGTAATTAAATAACTTTCCCTAATAAAGTTGTCAATTACATTTGATTGAATACTTACAAATAATTATTCTAAAAGACCCTCTGTATATATACAATGTATATTTTAATTTGATAACCATATTTATCCTCCATAAGGGGATAGATATCTTTTTCCATTCGAGTATTGAACCGATCCCATTTTTCGATCAATCCTCGTCAGGTATATAGAGTAAAATAGATGCTTACGTCACTGATCGGAAGAATGGATTACGTTATTTCGCGAGACACGTTGGAAATAATCAATTGAGAATGCTTTTTTTTTTTTTAATACATTATTTGTTATCTTTTCTATTCACTTTTTCTGTCTTTCTCTTTTTTATATTATAAATTGAATAAAATAAATAATATTTATATATGATCCTAACATGGGGTGAAAGTTAGCAATGGATATTAAGCTGCTATATTAGTAAATACATTCATGCGTTCATTTAAATTCATCAAGCGATGATACTAATGCCATACGTTCAACTTATTTCATTTATGTCTATGGTTTCTTTATTAAACCGTTAGCCTTATTCCTTTGCCATGACAAAACTGTTCGTAGAGTTTACCGCAGAGGATAACATCTGATACTATTTAGTATTATGCGAATCAATATGAAAATAATTCTAAATGAAAGAGATAATATACATTAGAATGTAATAACTATAAAAATATTCAAATATGTAATAGCTTTTAGAAAATGAAAGATTAAACATTTTCAATAACTTTCCTTGGAGTTAGGCAAAGAAAAGTTACTTTGATATTTGTAAAAGATAATAAAAATAAAAGATAATACCGGTGAATCTGATTCTTTGAGAAATAAAGAAGATGATAGGAGATGTGGTCATGGTAGGTGATTTTTCATCAATGGTGCACTATAGAAATATAACACGGTAACGAACAAAAAGTATTAACTTCCGGCTACACCTGTTAGTTCAGAAAAGGCGTGGCTATGGATAATCGAAAGTTAAGTTTTAAATAAAAACGAAATATTTAAGAAATGTACTATTTTAGAAGGAAGAAGAATAAGAGTAAACATTGAGAGAGTAATAAAAAGACACATAGAGACATATGTACACTAAACTTACTCTTGAGAACGGTCCATGCAGGAATCCTCCTTCACTCTCAATGTATCATCCCACTATCATAAAGATAATCACGATCCTTTCGTTGTATTTGTATTAATTATTTCGTTTCCCTTTAAATTCCTTTTTTGGACAAATTTAAATAGCGACGTGTCGTAGAACGTGTTAGAATTTTTAAGATTGATAACGTTCGTAACCAAAAAGTCAAATGTAGATTTGACGTTATTTATTCCGTTCGTTTCTTCGATGGTAACGAAGAATTGTTACTGGTTGTACAAACGACGAAGAAGAAAATATACACGTAACAAATGATATTAATTCCATTCGCCTAGACGCGATATTTTAACCGCTTTTAACTTTAATACAAGCTGGAAACATTAAGATTTCCTTCTGTAAGTATTTGTAATTTTAATTTCGTTTGATTTTATTTAATTTTTCGTTTTACCTGAAAACCATATCGAGACGGTTGAAAGCACAGGAGAGAGAGAAAATGTTGCATAGAGATTTCGGGCTCGACACGGTTCGCAAGCTGACGATGAACTAATTGTAAAATGGCGAGGAGTTCTCTCACTGCATAAGAACGTGGACAATGGTCACATATTTACCGGCACAATTTCCTCGAGACACGTTTAACTAATTAACTTAACGTTTATTTCCTTATTCACTTTTAATCAATCACTTTTAACGAATACCAAAAGAAAAGGGTTAAAATTATGACAATAATTTTAAGAAAGATGATACTTCGGATTATACACTGTTGTCAACCAATTGTAAGATGTTACAACTATATAGAACGATGCGGTTAGCGATCGCAGCGCTTAGTTCTTATGGCGGCATATTTTGGTACTAATAACATATATCAAAATATATTACTATCTTTTCTTTTTTAATTTTATAATCGTTGAATAAGAAACATTATTATTTGGTATATGTTATTTTAGTGAAAATAATAATTAATAATTTGCAATAATAAGATGTTTTTTAATGATATTATTTTTTAATAAGTTGGATATCTTGCTGCTATGATTGGTTAGAATGATTTTTTCGACCAATAAGAATCGTACGTGAAAAATAAATAATTAATATTTAATTATAAATATTGGGCACGCTTTCAAGATTATAATTAGTTCAATAAAAATTGATTTAATGTTATATGACTATATTTGTGATATAATACATTATTATTATTATTATTATTATTATTATTATTATTATAGATGATATTATGTGAACATAATCGGGGACGTAGAAAATATTATTTATAAATGAAATAATTAAAAAAAGGTACCGATTACAATAAACGATATTTATTTGAATAGTTATTATCAGAATAGTAAATTGATACAATAGAGAACGCTTTTAGCAGGCCAACTTTTTTTTCATTCTTCTTCTTCTTCTTCTTCTTCTTCAATAATAATTAAAAACTATAAATATTTTATTTCATTATTCAATTGTAAGAGCATCCCAATATCTCATATCTTGGAGTAATAATTAGACGTTAATGACATAGTAATTGAGTAATCAAATGATTAAAAAAAACCCCAAAAAGAAAAATATATGCATATAACTGTGATGATGATACAGATAAATGTTAAACTTTAAAATAGATAAAATTTTTTTTAGATATTTATATGTATATATAATGGCATTGTAACTGCTCCTGTAACTTTGGCCTAAATTAAGAAAATTCTATACAGGATGATCTGACATTGCATCGAATCGCGACTCTTTGTATCCTACAGAAAATGATTATTCATATCAGACATATACTCTTTTTTTTTCTTCTTACAGTTTCATGTCCAACCAAAAAGTATAATCTTATCCGTTGTTTTTTCTTTTCTTTTTCTTCTCTTAAATGGCATCAATATCGAAGTCACCCTCTTCGTCTGAATCATTTTCAACAGGTTTCGAAGCAGGTGCTGATTGCTGAGGTTTTAAAGATTGTTTTGCACGATCATCGTATTCAATCTGAAAAAAAAGAAAGAAAAAAAAATCAAATGCTTCGTAATGGATGACGTAATATTACGAAGAAGTATAATGTGTGTATCATCGTTAATATCACCCACTTCTAAATCGTCATCTTCTTTGTCAGATTCTGATTCTTCTTCTTCTGCTTCTTTTAGCCACGTTAAAAACGTTTTTGCTTTATCATGTATTTCTTGAGACAAATCTTTCGATACATACTTTTTGCTAACTTTGCTTGCCCATTCAAATATGGCTTTCTCTTCTAATATATCGAAGTCATAGAAGAGCTAAAAAACAAAAAAAAAACAAGATTTTTTGAATCTGTACGAATGTGTACATAGAGTTATTAAATGATTGAAATCATACCTTCAGAATACCAGAAACTTTTGGCATCAGGGCATCTTTGTGCAGAGCTATTACTTGCTCGATTCCTCTAATCAAATACTTCTGCGCTTTAATATCGTCGTGGGTAAAACGAAGTAACAAGACTCGATACTTTTTGGCTTGAGCAGCGATTGACTGATCGAATAATAATTCTGCCAGTACTAAAGGTGCTTTAGTTTTGATTTCTAAACGTTCAGCCTCTGTAATTAATTCTTTATGGTTGTCCAATTGTCCAGCATCACGACGACATTTAACTAGTTTGTAAAACATATCCATTCTTTCTTTTTCAGTCTTATCAAGATCATCGCTAATGGTCATTCCTTTAGCCCCATCGGTCAGATCTTGAAGGCGAGCTCTAACCGCTTCCTCCGATACATCAACGGCCCACTTGTCATCGTCTTGTTCGTTATCAGCAATTTTTTCCGGAACCTCGACCACGATGTCGGAAGTGTTGTTCTCGTTTTCTGGAGATCCCGATCGATCCCCGTTGGTTGTAGCAGCGGTTTCCCCATTAGTACGAGCCTTAGAACGTTTTCCACGTTTACCTTCGGTTAGTGAGCTGCCTTGGACCGCGGGATTCAAGCTGGGCGGATTTTTCAAGATGTAAGTATTCAACTTATGATTGCTCTCGAGTAAGCCGTGATGACCGCAGGCTTTACATCTTTGCGAGATGGTTCCTTTTTTAGAGCTGACCATCAATTCAGTTTCCGGATTGTCGCAAGCTGGACAAAGGACATATTTTCTTATGAATCCGTCTAATAGATCTTGTAATTTGGTAGCATCGTGGGAGCCGTTAACTATGAATCTTTCATTTTTAAAATCGAATTGAGTTTGGGCCCCAAGTTCGCATCCAAAGTATTTGGTCGGATAAGTAGCAGGTCTTCCAATAGCTTTGGCAACGTCGACCATGTTGACCACCACGGTTTTTATGCCATTACCTTTACCCTCGACTTTGGCTTGAATTCGGGGCATTTTATAACGATAAAACGCATCGCTGACGTTACGATTAACGTTAACGCTCCCCATTTTGCTGGATGTTTTGTTTTCCTGTGCGGCAAAAGCTTCAGAAGCCTCCCCAATGAAAGTAACTTCCTATGAGCCGTCGTTGTGAATACGTTACGGTAAATCGTAATAAAAAACCTTGATATTTACGATCGTTCAAAAACGGCCCAGTATTAGAATCTCTGTCTCTTTTTCCCTCTTTCTCTCTCGGATGGGTTATTAATCTTTTAGCCCCTCTCTCTCTTTCTCAAGTTCAAGTGGGTAACGTTTTCGTTCTTGTTCTTCTAGATCTTCTTCCCACGTTTCCCAGCGGCAGTTTGATTGCTGTGTAGCGACGTTGCCAAGAAGCAATTGCTACCCGATGGTAGCTCGTAACGTGTCGAGTCAGGGTGGTTTTCGTTGTCCGCGGTAAGGTATGCCGCTCTACCCGCTAACGATAGTCACGTTTCCCTGAACGGTTGTAACTTCCGATGCCTATTACTGTTTTCAACAAAAAATCAATGTCATCAATTTAATACTACTTACACTATAGCAAACTGTAATGCAACAAGCTCGTATTCATTGAATTTTCTATAATTACGTACCTGGAAAATTTTGAGGTCCTGTGTTTAGGCAGGACCAGATGATTTAAAAATCGATGGGTGGTATCTTGATGCGAATTTTGCCTCGGTCTGATGGGCAGAGGGGGATATTCTTCAATGATCATACACGCTGCCTGTCCGTTTCTCGTGCCTCTAAGAATCCCTGGAAACCAGGTTGGTGTGATCGATTCACCGCTTGATCCTACTAAAGGATTGCACCGAACGAACGAGATGGTGTTGCCGTTTGTAAACCGCTTGGACGATGTCCTACTACCGCCGCCTTTCCTGTACACCGATCCTTTCTCTCTGGATGATATCCTGGATGTTTCTGCGAAGATAACAAATACCTTTTTTAAATCAACCTATTACTCTGGTTATATACTCTTTCAGTTATATGATTCTTTTATTCCTTATTTCAGTATTTCTTCTTTAGTAAGTGTGTACCTAGTTTTCTACAAAATCCTTCTTAAAGGAGAAACGAACCAAATTGTTGCATCACGCAATGACATTCCAGAGCGTTTATTTTTATTTTATTTTATAGTTTTTCTTTTTTCTTTTTTTTTTTTTAACGAATATTCAAATAAGATTTTTGCTTCTTTTCTATTTTAATGATTAAACAGAAGTGTGTGTGTGAAGTAGAGTTTAGTTTTTGTAATCTCTCGATAATAGTAAAAATATCCTTTGTCCATTCGTAGTCGTCGATGACTTATATAGGAGGGTCTGCTAAAAGTTCTCAGGCAATGAAACATCTAATGAGATTTTCATGATTGGGTCATTTTTTTTCTTTATTTCTTTTTTTAAACTTCACGGATATGCTAGTATTGGATTTTGGAATAATAATAATAATAATAATAATAATAAATATTCGCTGTTAGATTCATTTATCAATCGACTTATTAACGATTATCTGAATGATTTCCAAGAAACGCAGGCCATGCCAGTATCATCATAGCAAAGATCAAACGCGGACGCGTTCCGTTTAAATGTAATTCGTTGATTAATTATCAAGAAAGGTTTCGAAGGAGTCGGATAAGGAATATGTGATAAACTGAACTTTTCATGATTATGAAATAAGGGGGAATAAGAAACAAATGAAACAAACAACTTTTTTAACAAAAGAATGTAATGTCCTATCGACGATTGAAAGATTTCTATCTTTTTTTTTTTTTTTTTGTATTTAAAGCATCGTTCATACGTATAAATATATGTACATAAATTTAAAGTAATTTAAAAAAATGTATCTCTTCTTTTCGTCATAATTTTGTATAGTTACATTGAACGCAGATTCCATTTACTAGAATTGGAAGAGTTGGTCATTTATTTGTCCTTTCGACGAAATTGCATGAATAAAATAAAATAAAATAAAATAATAAAAAGTTCTCTAGCGTAATTTAACTATTACAAAAGGTAACAAATTGAAACATCAAACAATAGAGCACTTACAACTTCTCAGACAGGTTTCCCGTGCAAACGCGACGAGGATAATGTTCGGAGGAGGAATCGCTATTTTCCATCGATCGATCTCATATATATATACAATTACGACGTTCTCTCGAAAGTTATAATCAAATGAACGATAAATTCCTTATTTTTATTAATAACAAATAATAATAAATGTTATAAAGCGTGCCTATAGTTAGAGAGATGTGTACGCATAAGGAGGAAATACAAGATAAGAAAACGTGAAGGATGCATTTGATGTTGTGAAAAAATAAAATAAAAAATAAAGACAGAAGAAAAAACGTGTTTTATTTGAATACGTAGTGTTACCAGAGAGAGTGTTATTTTTTTTAGATCGATATTATCCTCTTTCTCATTTGGAGGAATCATCTGAAAGATGCT